AGACCATGCTTCGTGAAGTGAAACCTCTTTAAATTATCAACGTCAATAATATATACATTGTCAAGCCGGGCCACTAGTTCTTTAAGGTAGTTATTTAAAAGGTCAATTTCATTGTGAAGGGAGTCATTTTGATGCAAATCATATCTTCTTGGTATTGTTGTTATAACCACAGGCGAATTTGCACTGATGTCTTGCAGCTTTTTTTCCACACCAGAGTAGAGAGGGGATAGATCTTTACGTAGAGTATCATTGGTCCCACCCATAAGCACTGTAATGTCACCCTTTGAATGTGACGCAGTCTCGGCGACTTGAAGGAGGCAAGCATTTGGCATCACAGATCCCAGAGTTTGAAGCTTATCTGGATACTTTTGTTTTAATGTAGTACCTATATATCTCCCCTGACTATCCGAAAAAACTGAGACATTCAAAACAGGCTTACCAACACCGAAATTATCTGAGAAGACAGCTGTTTTTGCCTTTTCATACTTTGGCTTCACTAGGTTTCTTTGACTAGACTTCTTTCCACTTTTAACTGTCCGGGCTTCACCACCAGCCTGTCCATCTGAAGGAGAATCCTCTACTACCTCCAAAGCGCCAAACCTGTTTCTTAATAACACGTTTTCTTGGTTCCTACCAAAAGCTTCAGTATTTAACCTAGGAACTCTAGATATACCTCCCGAGGCTTTGGAGCCCCCCACTTCAATCCATTCATTTTGCTCCTTGTTGGTGGATTTCACACTGCTATTAGTGTTAGACAGATTTGCATTAAGGGTTATTGAGCTGACACATGTTTGATCAGTGGTTTTATGAGAGGCTGTTGGTGCTTGCTGAAATATTAATTTCTTCAGTGTTTCTGAGGTTAAGAAAATGTGATTATTGTTGTACAGCAGGTAAGCAATAGTGGAGCGCTTAATCACAATATCTGACTCCTCAAACTTCAGTCGCAGGACACAAGATTCAATATTATGAGTAACCTCACTTGCAATTGCCTGAATGAGAAGGTCAACAAACATCAACATGTATACGCCACAGTCTACTTTATTCAATCCCTGCTGTGAGCACTTAACAATTTTTATTTGAGGAATTATAGGAGTGATCTGTGAATTAATGTGTTTTGAAATTCTGGGTATTAATTTATTAGCTGAACTCAGATTGTAGTTGCCAAGGGAGTCAAAGTAATAAAATGAGTTATCAAGTTTTGAGTAAAACAGTAAACTCCAATGTGAGCCGCTAACTGTATTTGAAGCCACAGCATCATTCACAGGTATTATTATAAATGATTTATCATGAAGTTTCAAAGGTTCTAAGATATACTCATAATCATCAAGACACTTGATCGCATGGCTAATGACTGGTTTAATTAAACAAGTGTTATCCTTAACAAAATTGTTCGACAAGATGTCAAAATACTTTTCGAGGCTATCATCCGTTATCCATTCATTCGACATTAGAGCCAAAGAAAGCGAGGCATTATTGCTGGTTTGGGTCTCTGTTGTATCTTTGGTTGTGTGGTTTTCAGCTAGAATATTCTCAGTTGTAATCGCATCAGAACCGGTATAGTTGCCAGATGTTTTAGCAGATATGATGTCCAATGTGTTAGGAATAATATCTATCGGGGTAACCAGTGAATCACTTGATTTCATTGAGACAGACAAGTTGATTGACTCCTGACTTGAAGATTCATTTGAAACACTACTGAAGGAAGAATTACTACTGTTGAGCTTTCTTTGAGTGAAATTGAAGTCCTCAATTTTGATTGGAAGTTTTTTATCTTTAATATATTTTTCAAGCTCCTTTTTCGATCGGAATAATTTACCACCAGGCGATTTTACGTAAATATCAACTTTTCCTTTACTAAGACCATTTTTTCGCAACTTTTCCTCTCTTATCCAACCTCGAGGCAAATTGATATTAAGGTCATTTTCAGAACAATTCATTTTGTTGAAGTATTTATAAAAATTAAATTATTTTCTCTCAGATAAGTGGAAAGGAAAAATTATATTTTTGGATTTAACTACAACTCTACTTAAAGCTGAGCACAGCTTAAGGTATTGACAACTTCAGAAATGAATATATACAGTTCAATTGAAGAATTTTATAACATTCTTGTGAGTTAAACCCAACTGGGAAATATCCAACTGCAATAAAGTGACATTTAGCTGTCACTAAATACTAGAGATTGTTATCCCTTGTAGAGCAAACCTCAGTTGAAATATAAACAAACAAAACTTGAGTTGAAACACAGATCTGCCGTTATCAGTCCACTGGCTCAAAGGTCAACCACTTGCACCTTGCTTCACTGGACTCTTATCTCATGACCCATCTTATCTCTAATATCTGAACGAACCTGATATTCCTTGATATTCCTTGAAATTTTATTTAATAAAACATAAAACATCTGCAACTGGTTACTTGAACAAAAAAACCGGTTTCTTATATTGGCACAGAAAAACAAACTGAACATTTACATGTAAAACACTTGTTAAAAAACACAGTATTTTCATAGAAATTTAGCAGAAACTGAGGAGCACAAGTTTAGCAGTTCTAACAGCAACAGGGACTTCCCCCTTCCATACATACATTATTAGTCAAAGGTAACAGCTAGTTACTCATAATGAAAGTTATTGATAGTTGATAATCGCACTAATCAGCTTTAATAAACCATAACAAAACACTGAAAGCCCTCACATAAACAAATCACAGACGAAAAACAGCTGTTCTTTGTGATTGCACAACTAACAGCAGACGCCACTGCCTCTTGCATTTCAAAGCCGTAAAACTAAAATATATACTATATGAAGTGCAAAATAATAATATTTCCCTTAAAGAACATTTATTCAGCATTCATTTGCCGCAAGTAACGTAATAAAATATTAATAAATAACGCTGTAAAAAAAAATTACGCAACAACGATATATTGCTTCATAACAGTCTGTGGGTAAAATACGAGGAACGATATATCGTTCCATAGCACCGAAAGGGTTAATTAAATTAATAAATACATCTACTTTAAAAACTAGGAATCATTGCATGTATAGGATGAAATTAAACCCTTAAATGTGACCCCAAGCTTCAATTGTATTCTAAAATATTGTTAACTCGTTCGCTTGGACAAATTAATTTTTTTTTAAGCCCTTTCGTGTACCGGTACTACCAGAGGTATACACAGTGATCCCTAAAGATCTGCTAAACTCCACCATTTCCACCATGATTTTACACTTTCGGGGTTTCTCTGAGCGGTTTCACTGTTATTTATGTTTTTAAAAGGCATATAAACCATATCCACGGGTGGTGAATCGCTAAATTTGGGTTTCAATACTACAAAAAAAGACCACAAAACAAATACAGGGTGTCTCATGGAAAATTTTTAAGTTAGCCACAATTTTTTCTGACCATTAAAAAAAGTGAAGTTCATGTGTATAACGTATTTTATTATCTTTTTAGAATGTAGATTTGATTTGAAGACTTATTTACTCCTAGCATTTCCTCTCCAAACTTACTTGTTTTTTAGGAGCTATAGGGTGCAGAATGTGCAAAGCCACTTTTTCCCAGGTGGAACACCTGTCCGTGGCATGTGCATGTCACATACACATGCCATTTCCGTTCATGTTTATGTTCGCTGTAGCTCCTCAACAAGTAGGTTTAGAGAAAAATCTGAACAATAAATCAGTTTTTAATATAAGGTTTGAAATTGCATTTACATTCTAAAACCATCATAAAAGACAAAGATTAAGTGTTCCATTAGAAACATCAAATTTAGCCGCTATATTGAAAACAGGCGGCCATTTCTTTTAAAGTGGAATTCATATTTTTTAATGTCAAAGGAAAATAGTTGAAGTTTTACATTTAATGTTTTCTCTAAATCTAATAGTTTTAACTTCTCTTAACTCACACATGACCCTCTAGGTACAAAAACCTGTGTCCTCAGCATCCGTAATTTCCTTACAACAGGCCCAGGCTGGGACCATTTGGGGCCCTCTACTAGAATTTTTTTTTATTGGTACTTGTAAACGGAGTTTTTGAACAATTTTGGCACTTATAAAGAAGAGCTCCGAGAACTGTACAAAGAACCAGACATTGTAGCCATGGTGAAGAGTAGACGACTGAGATGGGCAGGCCATGTAGAAAGAAGGGAAGAAGATAGTATGCTTAAGAAGATTGCCAATGGACAACCACGAGGCACTCGCCCGCTAGGTAGACCAAAGTTCAGATGGAGAGACCAAGTCCAGAAGGACCTACGCAGAGTGGGGGCATCTCTTGACTTGGCGGCAGACCGGCAGCAGTGGAGGCTTGTTGGCGAGGCCAAAAACCTTCTTAGGTTTGAGTGGCCAAGGAAGTAAGGTAAGGTAATAAAGAAGAAGAAATTCAGCCAGGTTTTTATACAAATATAAGGGTATTTATTTATTAGGGTAGCCCTGTATGAAGTGTATGGCAGCAGCGGTTTGGTTAGGTGGTAGGGAGAGGGCCTGACCAAAACAAGCCTAGTTCTGAGCATTAGAGCCCACGGTCGAGTTTTAGTAATAAGAGATTGATGGTCGCTACTAGTCGAGGGTGAGATAGAGCGATAGGAATTTCCGTTCAAGGTGCTTAACGCTTGGGCCACTCCTTGTATATTGCCCTATCATGTACCAACTGTAGCACTGTTGTGAGCTGAAACTGAACTAGAGTTGAAGGATCACAGTCCATAACCCGTTAACAACCATTAACAAGTTTTCTCTGCGCTACTGTGTTGTCAGTGCTGCTCAAGCAGACTGTGATGTGCTGTTATTTGTAGTAGTGGGCGAGGCCTTAGGTGGCGAACATCAGCCAGTGATTATATCGACCCAACACTACAGGTGGTACATAGTTTTATAAGCATAATCCATATCTTATTTTGTTACTGGAACTGTACAATAAATGAGTTTTTATTTATTCTCATAAACACACATTTTTAATTATTTTTTAAACTAGCCATTATTAGCTACGCTATGGTATGTCTTTGGTGATGTCAATATACTCACATTTTTATAAAAGAAGAATGCGATGTGGTAGAGGCTAATCATAAGTCTACGGTTGCAGAGAGAAGGTCGACCAATGACCATGCCGCTTAGTACTTCTGTGAGTCGTACAATCTTGTCCGATGGACTGATGAATGGCACACCATTTTGAGAACTTTTGTAGGCAAGGTGAGATATGTAGACTACACATTCCAATGCTCTATCTTCAGCTATATGTCTTTCCTAGAAATGTGTATCAGGATTTAACATATCATTTAAATAAAACCGATAGATTTACATGTTTAAACAATACATTTAGTGCATATTTATTAGAGGGTTAAGATAGCTAAAAAGTTAGCCTCCAGACAGTCGACTGGGCTTAAAATTTTTACAAAAATATAGCTACTTAAAGCTGGGTTTTCCTAGGCGCGGAGTCGGCGAGCGGGGAGAGGAACGCGGAGAGCGGAATTGAAATTAACATGGCATTCCGCTCCGCTTGTAGGAAAACAGTAACATTAAATTGCCTAAGACAAGTGGAGTCCGCTCTCCGCGTTCCTCTCTCCGCTCGCCGACTCCGCGCCTAGGAAAACCCGGCTTAAATCAGATCAAACTATCCTTTATTTGTTTTGTACAACATATACGTGAATAGTGTTCAATGGTAATTAATAAGGTTATAACGTAAAACTATTAATAGAAACAGTACAAGAGTCAGCGGACAGAATCATTGACATTATAGCAACATTTGTTACATAAAAAAACTCAAAGGTTTTTTAAATGACCTGAGGGAAGATACAGACTTGAAGAGATCAGGCAAATTATTATAAAATTTAATACCAGAGTAGTTGGGCGAAATTGAAAGTAGAAGATTTATGTTTGGGATATGTAATGCAGCCTTTGTGTCTAGTGTTATATTGTGGTTGTCTGAACTAATAGAAAATGTAGAAATACAGTAGACCCCCTCTTAACTGACCTCGTATTAACCGATACTCGGATTATCCGCCTTCAATCATAAAATATTACAGTTTGTTTTAACCGACCTTGCTTTGAGAGCAGTTCGGTTTAACCGCCGCTTTCTAGGAACCTCGGCATTTCCGCTCCCACGCTGGGCGATGAGAACTGAACCATACGCTTATCTCCACAGGATATGACTAAGAATAAGTTATTTTGTTTTCGTCACAAAAAATTTAAAAAAAATTTGTTATCTGTGCGGCAAATTTATAAAATCGTAAAGTGCGTTACGATTTTGAGAACTGATTATCTTATAGCTGGAGTAAACAAACAATGCAACTTGTAGGGAGGGCAGGGAAAGGGGGTTTACAACTCTAAGGTCAGGATAATTTTTGTGCCTCGAGCCTCCAGTGAGAGGCTATAAATAAACATCCTGTCTTGTAACAAAATGGTTGCTTGTTTCTTTAATTTCGACAAAAGGTTCTGTACTGTATTACGATGGATTTGGAAAGCATCAATTAATACATTACAGTACTAAAGTTATTAAAATAGGAATTTTTATTGACTCTTGCCTAGTATTATAATATATTCCACTGAAAGTAGGCCTATTTGACTTAACCGTGTTTTGTGTTTACAGTAGACTCCCTCTTAACCGACCTCGTATTAACCGATAATCGGATTATCCGCCTTCGATCGTAAAAAAATACAGTTTGTTTTAACCGACCTTGCTTTGAGAGCAGCTCGGTTTAACCGCCGCTTTCTAGGAATCTCGGCATTTCCGCTCCCACGCTGGGCGATGAGAACTGAACCATACGCTTATCTCCAAGGGATATGACTAACAATAAGTTATTTTGTGTTGATCACAAAAAATATTGCATAGCCTATTGTCAGTTTGTCATCATCGTTCGTAGCTCGAGCACATCTGATCTGATTTGTTATCTGTGCGGCAAATTTATAACATCATAAAATGCGTTACGATTTTGAGAACTGATTACTGATTATCTTATTGCCGGAGTAAACAAACAACGCAACTTGTAGAAAAGGCAGGGAAGGGGGGTTAACAACTCCAAGGTCAAGATAGTTTTTGTGCCTCGAGCCTCCAGTGAGAGGCTATAAATAAACGTCCTGTTTTGTAACAAAATGGTCGTTGTATCTTTAATATCGACAAAAGGTTCTGTACTGTATTACGATGTTTTTGGAAAGCACCCATTAATACATTACAGTACTAAAGTTATTTAAATAGGAATTTTATTGACTCTTGTCTAGTATTATAATATATTCCACTGAAAGTAGGCCTATTTGATTTAACCACGTTTTGTGTTTATTTGTGAATTTTCGATAAATATGAAAAAGGAGATAAGAGTAGTTTATTTTATAAATAATACAAGTATGACTTCAAAATAATGATTATATAATTCCAAATGAATAGCACTTCATTATGTTATGATTTTAGGGATTGCCCGTTTTATCCGACCTTTTGAGTTATCCGAACTAGGTCCGGTCCCATTAGGGTCGGTTAAGAGGGGGTCTACTGTATTTGTGACTTTTCTATCAATACAAAAAAGGAGATAAGAGTAGTTTATTTTATAAATAATGCAAGTATGACTTCAAAATAATGATTATATAATTCCAAATGAATAGCACTTCATTATGTTATGATTTTAGGGATTGCCCGTTTTAACCAACCTTTTTCAGTTATCCGACCTAGGTCCGTCCCATTAGGGTCGGTTAAGAGGGGGTCTACTGTATTTTATTTCACAAATATTAACAGATTATATGATTATGTAAAGGCTAGGAAAAGTAAGAATGTTATTAATTTCAGTTTAGATATCTTCGCATGAATCTCTAGCTTTGAGAGAATATGTTACCCTAACGATTTGTTTTTGCAATTTAAACAACTTTTTCCTTTTGTCAGAATATCCCCAAAAATCATTCCAATACTATACCAAGGATCCGTTTAGGACTATCCACACTTCGGTCGAATTGATTTGATTTTCCAATACCACACAGCTGGCTTGAGCAAAATGAAATACATTATTCAGCAATACCATGTGGCAGGTTTATTTATTTTAAGATGATTATAAACATTGATTTAGAAAACAAGCTAGATTCTATAATATACAGGGACTACTAGGTCTTGATCTAGTGTTAAAAATGTTTTCGGGTGATACTCCAACCCAAATGTGACCCAAACAAACAATTTAAAAAATTCTTAACACACATACTCATTTAAAAACCTTTTATTTAACAAAAACTCAAAATTTGTTTTTTTAGCGAATTTCCCATATAGGGAATAAGCTATTACCGTAGTACTCATGGTGAGACCTGGACCCGGGACCGATTTTTTTTTTTGTTTTGAGGTCCCTAGAGGCCAAAAACACCATCCGTTCAAATTCATATATATATATATATTATTTTCTTGCATTTTTAGGGCTACTAATATAATAAAATTAAAACATATATAACAAAGTACCCTTTTAGTAATTATTTTATTTTTCATGAAAAATAAAATAATTACTAAAAGGGTACTTTGTTATATATGTTTTAATTTTAATATATATATATATATATTTATATATATATATTTATATATGTGTCCGTTAGCGCGATAACTTGAGCAAAAATGATCCGATTTTGATGAAATTTGGTACAAACGTGTAAACCTACGTTTATTCGAACGAGTTCGCGAACCAGCATGATCGGACCATGGGAACGGGGGCTTATGGGGGCTTTTATGGGGTAAAAATGGGTTTTTCCCATTTTTGACCCAAAAAACATAGAATTTAGCAATTTCTTTCCAGACTATTTTTTAGAGCTTAAAATAACAAATAATTTAGTATATTGAAGCGTTATAATGCGCCTAATGGTTATGGAGAAAATTCCAAAAAATTGTAAATTTAAAATTCCTATGTTATTCTTATGGAGAATAAGTAAACTGTTGTAGTTTGCTTGTTTATTATTAACATATTTTGCCCAAATTTGGAAAATGTTTTTATTTCTTACTAACTATTAACATTTTACATAAAAAAAAAACACTTTTACCCTCCCTGTTGCAGCAAACCTAAGTATGTGTTTTAACTCATTCTATTTAAATAGGGAATAAATGTGATATTTTTAAGGAGACATTTTAGTGTAAATCCAATCAGGCAAATGGAAATTTGCTTAGTCTGCAGGTTTGCTGTGGCGGGGGTATTTTATTATTTATGGTTGATCATTGCAGACTGACCAGTTCTTTAGACATTTGAGGGAGGTAGGTCAGGTTTTGTGCGGATTCTTGACTGCAATAAATGTTTTGAAATTAGGTTAGATTGGTGAATTTTAGGTTATAATGAACAACTTATTAACTTATGTTAATTCCAGACTTTTTTTCCACAATTAAAATGTAAGCATTTAGAAATTGTTAAATTGTATTGTGTTTCACCCACTAAGCATTTTTGTAATTCTCATTTTACTGTGTTTCACCCACTATTTTAAATGTGCAAAAAAAGTCTGAAGGTAACATAAATAAGTAAGTTGTTTCATTTTAATCTAAACTTTTACTTACCTAAACCAACCTAACTTCAAAGGATTTAATACCGTCAGAAACCAGCATAAGGCGCGACCTAACTTACTCACTCACTTAAGTCTTCTCTGTCATCAAATGGGATTTTGAAATGTTTAAAAGTTAGGTTTGGTTAGTAGAACAGTTCGACTATATACGGGGGGGGCCACCAGTAGATTGACAATTTACTTCATTGTCAGGCCACCAGACCGTCTTTTTAAATTAAATATATAAATACGAAAAAAGTTATTTCATCATCAGTCCGGCTCATTTCATTTTCAGTTGACCGGCCAGTAAAGTTAAATAATTAAATATAAGAATCCTCTTCTTCAACAATTTACTCGACCCCCAGCTCACTTCATCATCTTTTAGGTGAAGATGGGTAGAGCGGCAGCGCACGCAGCTGTGGAAGCTTCTGCAGGCGTACCAACTGCTGTATCTTATAAAGGCGGTTTTTATTCAGACGATTTTCAGTTATTACCAATTCAGCGGACTAGTGAGGAGAGCTAATTTTTTTTTTTTTTTAGTTTCTCAATCGATATTCTTTAAAATACAGTACAGTGAATATCAATTTGGGTAATGTTTCTGTATGGGATTTGAGAACAAAGAATACGTAACTGAAAGTAAAAAAAAATACAAAACCTATATTCATTCTTGCAATGAAATAAATGTTTTATTTAGCTACTACATGTAAATTATTTAAGATTTACATTAAATGTTCTTAGAAAAACTCACATTGAACATTTCATTAGAG